GGACCCTTAACTCAACTCGCGATTCYTCATTTTATTTTTTCAATCTTATTCTTTAATTATTCATCGATTTACCATTTTATATTCGTTATATCTTTCATCATCATCTCTATTTTAGAAATGATCCTTTCAGGGTCTTCCAAATTTCTAACCAACCCTTAACTTAAACTCACGATTTTTCACATTTTTATTCCTCAGTCTTATTAGAGGTTATTCTAGATTAGTATTTATATCATCGTGTTTCTTTCTTTCCAAAAAAATCTCATCTCTCCTTTTTAAATTAATTTTCAATATTTCTAAGAACCCTTTACCTTAACTCATGATTCCACATCTTATTTATATCAAAATTAACCAACAACAAAAATAGTCCTTCATATACACTTCCATATAATTGCATTGATTTCATATACATTTTTTCTCATATCATTATTATATTATTTAAATATAATATTATCAATTATCAAATATTTTTTTAAATTATTATCAAGTCTTATGCACCGAATTAAATTCTTTTGTTATATTTGGTTATATATTACCAAACACAGTGAAACGATCATTTGCGTTAAGCTTCTAAATAATAATAATAATAATAATAATAACAATAATAATAATAATGCATCTTACGGTGAACTAATGATTACGTTGTGCCCACGTATACATTGCCAACGCAATATGATAATTCGTATAATCGATTAACGAGACGTATCATTCTCTTCTCTCTCTCTCTCTCTCTCTCCTAGAACACAGTTTTCTATGGAAAGAAAAAACACGAGTTCATCAAAGACAAACAAACGTCCTTGCTAAACTCGCGGCTGTTACTATAATCTTTATTGCAACATTTTGACTAACAATAAGATAGAGAAAAAGATGGATACTTTACTTTTAAGGAATAAAACGGAAGAAGAAATTTATTTCGTCGATTATTATTATCATCATCATCATCATCATCATCATCATCATCATCGTTTTCTAACTAAATATAACTTGTGACACACATTCCACTTTTTCTTTTTTTCTTTTTTTTGCTTCTACTTAACCCAAGAAACATGATTCATATATATATAAATTTTATATACGTACATTTACGTAATTACCTTGAAGAACAAAAAAATGTGTGTGTATATATATATACGAGTATAATAAAATGCAGGTATATGCAGTTTTTTTTTTATTTTTTTTCGTACACACACAAGTACGAGAATATTAATTTGCAAAAAGACAAAATGCGAGATTAGAATAAAAAGGAAAATTTTTTACAATTATTTTTATAACGTTACCAATATGATATGATAAATGTGTTCGTTTGAAAACTAATAAAAATATTTAACTTCAACTATATGAATCGTCAGTCTGATCAAAGATCAATAAGTTACGTCACGAGTATAGTAAGTAAGAAATCGTTCGACCGAAGGTCGTTCATTTTGTTCGATTCCCACCTTGGTAAAAAAAAGAACCTGGTGATAGGTTACCCACGTTTCTCGGACGTTCCTTCGTTTCTGAGCTAACTCACGTCGATTACTTTCTCCTTTAATAAACCCTTTAAAATACCATGGACACACACATATATGCGTTTGATACAAATATATTCACGTATATATATAATTGTTTGTCAATATATCAATTCAAATATAATATTATATCATTTTTTGTATATTCATTATTATTTTGAATCTTGTGTGATCAAATTAAAAAAATAATTAATTATATTAAATATAATTTATTAAATGTGATATTACTAAAATCAATCAATAAAACAATTATACTAGAATAATAAAATATTCAATACTCAAAGGGTTAAATATTTGTTTTGAATTATCCTAAATTTATGACAATTCATTTTAATTTCCACCAATGACATAATAATTACACACACATATATATATTAGTTTCCAATCTCAACTTTTTTATA